GTCCCCTCCGTGTCCCCTCGTGTCCCCTGTGGGCCACGGGGTCCCGGTGCCCCTCGTCCCCTCGTGTCCCCTCATGTCCCCTCCAGGACCAAGGGGTCCCAGTGCCCCTTGTCCCCTCCGTGTCCCCTCGTGTCCCCTGCAGGTCCTGTGCCCCTCGTCCCCTCGTGTCCCCTCGTGTCCCCTCGTGTCCCTTGTGGGCCAGGGGGTCCCGGTGCCCCTCGTGTCCCCTCCAGGACCAAGGGGTCCCGGTGCCCCTCAACCCCTCCATGTCCCCTCGTGTCCCCTCCCGGGCCACGGGGTCCTGGTGGCCGTCATCCCCTCCGTGTCCCTGTGGGTCCCGGTGCCCCTCGTCACCCTCCGTGTCCCCTGGGGGTCCCAGTGCCCCTCATGTCCCTCCGTGTCCCTTGGAGTCCCAATGTCTCTCGTCACCCTTGTGTCCCTGGGGGTCCCTCGTCCTCCTCTTGTCCCGGGGGGTCCCTTGTCCTCCTCCATGTCCCTGTGGGCCCCAATGTCCCTTGTGTCCCTGGGGGTCCCGGTGTCCCTCGTGTCCCTGGGGGTCCCTCGTCCTCCTCTTGTCCCTGGGGGTCCCTTGTCCCCCCCCATGTCCCTGTGGGTCCCGGTGCCCCCCGTGTCCCGGGGGGTCCCTTGTCCTCCTCCATGTCCCTGTGGGCCCCAATGTCCCTTGTGTCCCTGGGGGTCCCGGTGCCCCTTGTCCCCCCCCCATGTCCCTGTGGGTCCCGATGTCCCTCGTGTCCCTGGGGGTCCCTCGTCCCCTCCATGTCCCTGGGGGTCCTGGTGCCCCCCGTGTCCCTGGGGGTCCCGGTGCCCCTCGTCCCCCCTCCATGTCCCTGGGGGTCCCGGTGCCCCCCGTGTCCCTGGGGGTCCCGGTGTCCCTGGGGGTCCCGGTGCCCCTCGCCACCCTCGTGTCCCCCCCAGGTGGGCACGAGCGCCATGGACAGCCCCCTGCTCAAGTACAGCGCCAAGGAGCACTTCTTCAGGGCGGCCCTGTGCCACTTCTGCGTGGACATGCTCAACGCCAAGGTGGGCACGGGCACGGAGCGGGGACGTGCCGGGAATGTGCAGGGAATGTGCCGGGAGCAGGGATGTGCCAGGAATGTGTAGGGAATGTGTAGGGTGCAGGGATGGGCCGGGAGCGCACGCAGAGCAGGGATGTGCCGGGAATGTGCAGAGAGCAGGGACGTGCTGGGAATGTGCAGGGAAGGTGCAGGGTGCAGGAATGTGCCGGGAGCGCACGTGGAGCAGGGACGTGCTGGGAATGTGCAGGGAATGTGCAGGGTGCAGGAATGTGCCAGGAGCGCACGCAGAGCAGGGATGTGCCGGGAATGTGCAGGGAGCAGGGACGTGCTGGGAATGTGCAGGGTGCAGGGATGTGCCGGGAGCGCACGCGGAGCAGGGATGTGCCGGGAATGTGCAGAGAGCAGGGATGTGCTGGGAATGTGCAGGGAAGGTGCAGGGTGCAGGGATGTGCCGGGAATGTGTCGGGAATGTGCAGGGAGCAGGGATGGGCCGGGAGCGCGCAGGGTGCATGGATGTGCACGGGGAGCACACAGGGAGCATGCGGAGCGCCCGGCTGTCCCGGGGCGCACACGGGAGCACCCAGGGCACACACGGGAAGCACGTGGGGCACCCGGGAGCACCCAGGGCGCACCCGGGAGCACCCAGGGCACCCAGGGCGCACACCGGCCGTCCCGGGCGCCCCGCGGCGCTCGGCGCCGCTCATCCCCGCTCCGCAGCTCGCCGTGCAGCGCTACGAGGAGATGTTCCCGGCGTTCGGCGACTCCCGCGAGTGCAAGCTGCTCAAGGTGGGTGCCGCGGGGGGCCCCTGCGCTCGGGGGGGCCCTTTCGGGGTGCCGCTCACCCCCCCCCCCCGCGCCCCCTCCCCTAGAAGCTGCTGGACGCCCACGAGGAGCAGAACGTGGACGCCTACACGGATGCCGTAAGCGGCGGCCGCCCCTTCCCGGCCTCCGGGATCCCGCTGATCCCGGGATTTTGGGGGGGGGGGGTGAGCCGGGGCCTCCCACGGGGTGGATCCCGGTTTTCCTGGCTGGGGGGGCCGCTCCGGGGCCTGGATTCCGGTTTTCCCGCCCAGGGGGGCACTCCTGTGGGCCAGATCCTGGTTTTCCCAGCCAGGGGGGTGCTCCCGTGGGGCGGATCCCGGTTTTCCTGGCCAGGGCGGGCCGCTCTGGGGCCCAGATCCCGGTTTTCCCGGCCAGGGGGGTGCTCCCGTGGGGCGGATCCCGGTTTTCCTGGCCAGGGGGGCACTCCCATGGGCCAGATCCCGTTTTTCCCAGCCGGGGGGGTGCTCCCGCAGGGTGGATCCCAGTTTTCCCAGCTGGGGGGGCACTCCCGTGGGCCAGATCCCGGTTTTCCCGGCCGGGGGGCCGCTCCCTTGGGCCAGCTCCTGGTTTTCCCAGCTGGGGGGGCGCTTGAGGGTCTCCCATGGGCCAGATCCTGGTTTTCCCAGCCAGAGCGGGGGACACTCCTGCAGGCTGGATCCCGGTTTTCCTGGCTGGGGACCACTCTGGGGCCCAGACCCTGGTTTTCCCAGCCAGGGGGGCCGCTCCAGGGCCCGTATCCCGGTTTTCCCAGCCGGAGGGGCCGCTCCAGGGCCCGTATCCCGCTTTTCCCGGCCTCTCCCGCAGGTCAAGGAGTTCGACTCCATCTCGCGCCTGGACCAGTGGCTGACGACGATGCTGCTGCGCATCAAGAAGAGCATCCAGGGCGAGGAGGAGGATCTGCGCTGACCCCCCGGCCCCCCAAAACCCCCGAGGGGGGGGTTGGGGCTGCGCTGACCCCCCGGCCCCCCAAAAACACCCGAGGGGGGGTTTGGGGCTGCGCTGACCCCCCCC